AGGGGTTGCGGTGTTGGCTGTTTTTTTCGGTCAGTCGTCGTCGTCGTACTGCTGTCTTGCTGCTGTTCGTTCGTCGTCGTTTTTGTTGGCTGTGTAGATGTTGTAGTGTTGTTGTTGTTGCACGTCTGCAAGGGAGTGCGCCCATGCTTGTCTTACCGGCTTGACCGGTTGCGTGTGTGCGCAACTCCTGTCCCGAAGGATGTAGGCAGTACAAGTTCTTTACTGAAAGCAGGGGGGCCAGGCCTCCAAATGCGAACCTGGTCCAACGAAGCTGAGCAATTGGAGGGGAAGCCGTGACAGACGTCTAATGGTGTACCTGCTATTTTCCCATGCCGGTATGATCTAAAGCTAGAAGCTGCAAAGCCGAGATGTTATTGAAGGGAAATGATGTAACGAACTAGCACAAACAACATCCATCTCAGTAAGGATGACTAGTCCGCAAGGGTGTGCGTGTGTGTGTGTGTGTGTGTGGGTGTCTGTCTGTCACGGTCTTTCTGTCACCGTTTGTCTGTCTGTCTGTCTGTCTGTCTGTCTGTCTGTCTCTGCCTGTCGCTTTCTCTGTCTTTCGCTTTCTCTGTCTGTCTCTGTCTGCATGTGTTCTGTCACTGTCTGTCACTGTCTGTCACTGTCTGTCTCTGTCTGTCTCTGTTTGTCTCTGTCTGTCTCTGTTCTGTCACTGTTCTGTCACTGTCTGTCACTGTCTGTCACTGTCTGTCACTGTTTGTCACTGTCTGTCTCTGTCTGCGGCGGTCACATGTCACGGTCACTGTCACTGTCACGGTCACTGCCTGTCTGTCTCTGTCTCTCTGTCCGTCTGTCCGTCCATCCGTCCGTCGGTCCGTCGGTCCGTCGGTCTGTCGGTCTGTGGGTCGGTCGGTCGGTCTGTCGGTCTGCCGGTCTGCCGGTCTGCCGGTCTGGTCTGTCGGTCTGTCGGTCTGTCAGTCTGTCGGTCTGTCGGCCAATCGGTCTGTGGGTCGGTCGGTCGGTCGCTCGGTCGGTCTGTCGGTCTGTCTGTCTGTCTGTCTGTCTGTCTGTCTGTCTCTGTCCGTCTATCCGTCTTTGGGTTGTCTTTGTCTGTCTGGTTCTGTCTGTATCTGTTTCTGTCTGTCTGTGTCTGACTGTGTCTGTCTGTGCCTGTCTGTGTCTGTCTGTGTGCATGTGTGTATGTGTGCGTGTGTGCGTGCGTGGGTGGGCGGGTGTAGGCAAGCCGCAGACATGAGGATAGAGATTGCGCTTGTCATTAGTTTCTCACCCCTATCCTTAATGCATGACGGCGGCCAGCCGAAAACGCATCCGAGTTCAACAGCCAAAACCCCTCAGAAACCAAGGCCAGTCTCAAGCAGCATCCAAGGTCAGTTCAACTACCCAAAGCAATAACTGTATCATGCCCCCCCCACATGCCATGGAATGAGCCGAGGTACAGTGATCATTGCGGCCGTGGGCCTATGGAAGGCATTGTGTCGGCGGGGATGCGGAGATGTTGACATGATGACTGTACGTCCAGTAGTGGTCTCAAGGACCCCACTGCCCCGGATTCGCGGGAATCGGCAGACCGTAAAGCAAGTCGAATAGCTGAGTGTTCCCATCCCACCGCTTCAGGCCCCCACACGGATGGATTCGAGGCAAAACCACGAGTTTGGGACCTTGGCTACAAGATATCCCTAGGCTACCCGGCCCAGCAGCATGCGAAGGCAGCAGTCGTTTCAAAGCAACCGGGGACGCAGGCACATGTGCCCGAGAATTGGATACGTGGCATGGAGCATACCATCGGCTACGAGGACCCGGGTTCGCTCGACTTTGTCGAAGCCGCTTGTGACCGGATCATTCGCTCTCAGGCCCAAGCCTCAAAGCTTGCAGGACCTCAATGCCCCAGATTAGGAGCCAAAGAAGCACTCAAACCATAAACTCGCGGATGGGATATCTCTACCTTATTGCTTTGTTAAAAAATGGCTTTTGTTTAGGTGCCTTGTGGGGTTCCTACCCGATGTCTTCTACAGCGCACTTCACAGCCGACAAACGGCTCGACAATCCACCCCGTAGCCGAGTGGTTCCACGAATAACAGGCAAGTGCACGTAAGGGTGCGGGCAGGGTGAGGGGGAGCAGGAAGGAAGTTGACCGACTACCGTCAGCCCCTTGCGAGCCCGGAGCCGTGCCCTTAATTAATTAAAACTCCGGAGCATGCATCAGATATCGACGGCTTGGGAAGACAATCGAGTTCGATCAAGCCAGACGCAGCCAAAGCTCGCATGTGTGCCGGAACAAAGCCTATCGCTTGCGTTGCGGGATTTCGCTGGCCAGCAGGTCAAGTTAGTCAGTTACAGCAACCCATGTGTACACGACACTCCCCATTCTGAAGTGGACCGAGTCTTCGTTAGCTCTCCCCCCAAAGCTGAGTCTTTGAAAGGAGTTAGCACCTTGGCCTGGTGCCGCCGCCTTCGACGGGCTCTCGGTGCTCATCCTGGGCAACGGTGCCCTTCTAGCAATTTTGCGCGGGCTCTCGGAGAAAAAATTGATGGACGGATGCCGATTCCCTTGGAAGGAAAGGCAAATGTGCTTGGGCCTTCCCTAATTTGGTCCCCAAACTTCAGGCAATGGAGCCTTTGAAACCAGCGACGCGGTCCGGAACTTCGCCGCAGCTCGGGCGAAAGATGCTCCCACCATATGCCACCGCTACAGTGACATGGCATTCCGGCTCGACAGTGCAAAGCAGCTGCCCAAAGTCTTATTCCCCATAATGGCAAGAGTTGACTTTGCGCTGGACAGAGAGGCTAAACCTGGCGGAAGCCGGGATCAGATGGGAACAGCCATAGGGGCAGTACGAACAGCCCGACTCGACTGGCAGGATGGATTTAGGGACATGACCCACATGCTTCAGCCCCTGTACTGGCGTGATTCGGTTGTCATTTCGCGCCCAGTGTGTTGAATTGGAATTTCAGATGTATCGTGGTTACCCGGGGACGTGGAGAGACCGCGTGTCCGAATTTGATGAAACCAACGGAGCTTACCGAAGGACGTACACGTCGCGTCTTCGCAGAGGGCTGTCACATGTTGTAGACCACCGTGAGAGGACGCGGAGATACCGGTAGAACCGAGAGGGTTGTCAATTCCCGGCACGAATCGTGACGGCGCGACTTGTGCAGCGATTTCTCGTGCGATCTTCGAACACGCCAAGGACAGCCAAAACCGAGGACGATTCGTCCCGGCACCACATGCACAGCGCCATTTATGATGAATGGCCCCGCTTGGTCTGCCCAGTGCGTTAGCAGATAGTTATGAAATTTGAGTAAGAGATAAGTGGCAGCCTCGTGAAAACCGAAGGTCAAACCTCCCGAAGACCTCTCATCGGGCCCCCGTGATAACCTGAGTGACAAAACCTACACGCTCTCCATTGCCTCACATCACGCTTTGCAACGCTACGACAACCTAAGAGACAACCTCACGTCGACATCATCACATCATGCCATCCAAACCACCTCCAAGGACAGAAACCCTTTGCCACTCTTTGCGAAGCAAAACCAATCGACTCTGCAGCAGCAGCATTAGCCAAACAGTAGTAGCAGCAGAGGCCCGGGAGTAGAAAGCCGAAAGGCAATAAAATTATGAGAGGCTCTCACTGCTGACCTAATCTGACCGATGTTGACCAAATTCATATGGCATCCACGGAAACCCAAAGCCCTAAGTAACCCTACACCCAATAAGCAACCGTAAACCTCAGATGAGGCAGACATCGGAATCCTGGGCCGTCGAGAGGCCGATATGGGCCCGGCCGTAGCGTGTCAGATTCGTCAAACTATTGAAAATGTCATTTATGCCGCATCTACAGTTGTAGTTAGAATGAGAAAAGAGACAGGTAACAGCGATAGTCGCAAGAAGTGCCTTAGACTAGACGCAGCCACGGCGGACTTGACTAGAAGCCAAAATTATGCAGTCATCATATTACTGTCAGTTTGATCGTAGTAAGATGCTTCAACGCGCGGCACTTGACTATTGGCGCCAGGTGAAAGCAGAGCAGGCTGCAGCATTTACGGAGATAGACAGGAAAGACTTGAACAAGATCCTAGCTTAACGGCCACGCACCGTGTTGACGGTAGCTCCCCATGAGGCCTGGAATGACAGCCTTCTGATTGTGGGTGTGCGATGACCCCTGTGAAGGAACGCTTCGCTCACGAGTCAAATTATGTGGGGGATGTGCGCGCAGCACGGCTGACGTCTCTGGATTCACTTCACCTGAGCCTTGGCCATGAATGATGTGCGATGCCGTAATTTGCTGTGCCGGCTCTTGACCAAGGCATCTGCATCGGCATGAAACATACTTAGCGATTTCGGGCGGACGCTTCAACAGGTGGAGCAAGTTGGTCAATGTAGGCTGCTGATGCGATGAGGATGATGACACACAATTGACTGAGTTGTGCAAGTGCAGCTTGCGGCTTCCATGTGAAACTTTGGGGTCAGCGTTCCCAGAACTGATGCCTGCCAGCGAGGAAATCCCTCGACGACGTCTTTGCGCTCGCTCCAGGAGCAGGTCTCTTTCTTCTGCACCCATCAGCCGGCTTGCAAAGTGTGACCGAGACGCGGTGTCTTTTGTTCTCGGGCAGCAGCGCCCTGAGGCGAACTTGAAGGCACGCATAGCAGGCAAAGTCGCCTAGGTGCCCGGCCGAAGCGCCATTCCACCCTAAAAGCCNNAAAAAAAAAAAAAGAATTCAAGAAGGAAAAGAAGGAAACGCATCTGCTCTCGCAAATTCCTCACGAAGAGCTTGGGTTTAGGGCCCTGGGCGGAGGTCGGCTCCTGGAGCTGCTGCCCTGTGCCAGCGCGGGCCCAGGCCAGGCGAAAGGGCAAAAGGCCGAGTCCATTGGACTCGGCCCGGGGTTTTTTGCCCCTGCTGGGGCTGCGTCTGCCTAGCAGAAATCGGGCCGATGCACCGAAACTCACTTTAGGGCAAGTTGGGTTTGGGGGATGCAGAGTTGAAGTTCCCAATTTAAGACGAGGCACTGGCGAGGCCGGGAACGGCTGGCCTGCACTTGGGCTGCGCTTCAGCTCTTTAGGCTTGGCTTCTGTGTGGAATCACAGGCTTCGGCTTGCAACTAGTTCGTTCGTCTTGGGGCTGGATGGGGTGTCCCCGGTTTCTGCGGCTCTCCTTGAACCTCCTCGTCCATGTCGCTTCAAGGAGAGCGCCTTCGACACCGAGCTGCAAGGCTTCCAGGGCCGGCCGCCCGTCTGTGCACTCCCGGACAACAGCAAGAAGGAGTTTCTGCCGCTCGCCAGCGCCTGAAAAGCTTTGCGGTGTCTGATGTGATTCTTGGAAGCATAATATATGTACGCAGGTGGCCTGGGGCTCACGCTCGTTCTGCACTCGTGCGTCTGGCAAATGTATCACATGTCCAAGATATCCTGATTTGTTTTGCACGGTCTTTCAGGTTGTAGGACAGCTAACTAGCCTGCACCTGCACGAAGGTTCATAGTGAACTTCCTGTACGAGTGATTTCACGGGTCTCACGGGCAGGGACCTTGCGGTCTGACCCTACTTAGAGATTGCTCGGAGGCTGGCAGATCACGATCCGGAATCCAAGCTGCAAGGAACAGAGCTGGACGACGGTTCACGCAAGAGACGAGGGTTTCGACTGAGAACCTCTGAGACTCTGAGAACCATTCCAAGGAGAACCCAGCAGTACAGGAGGCGCTTGCCAGATGGGCGGAGCACATTCATGTACGTAACTTGGCTGCTGTAGTTTCTGGTCTGATCCAGTGCGAAATCTTAATGGCACCGAGGAACGAAGCAAGTGAGAAAACTGTAAGACTCCATCTTTGCGAGCTCGTGAGCCCAAACGATGTTGCGTGGCGCACGTGTGAGAGTCATGCGTCGGTGGTTATCATAGGCCCTGAGCGATCGAGATGAAATGGACAGCGCCGTTTAGGGATGGGGGTTCGCTTACGTACCAGAAAATTCAGACAATGCTCGAGTGCTTCGAGACCCAGGCTTCAGCGTCGAAAAGCCTCGGTGTGGCCTCAGTCTGAGGTGAAGGTAAGGTCTTCCTGTCAGGGTGCTATTGGACCGCTTCCTTGCTTGGTCAGCCTGTTTATTTACAGCCTGCAGCGCGGTTAAGCTGGTGCACGCCGCTGTCCCGACTCGACTCATTAGCGCTCCGTCCGACCTAGTCTCTTCGCCTTTTTCCGACTTAGCCGGTGACCACCGTTTCTGCAAAGGGGCCAATCGTCCGGAAAGTGTGCGCGGGAGAAGGTTTCGCCTCCAACTTCCATCGGAGAGGCTACGATTGGCATAGGAGGGGAAGATCTGGTTCCGGATACAGCAGCTAGAGACGTCCAGGGACTTCTCCGGCTCCATAGTCCTAGAATGCCTTTGGATCCCTTAGGCCGAATGCACCATTCTGCACTGTTCTCCTGAGCAAGCGTTGTTCCAAAGCTTCGCGAATCCAGGTTTCCGGCTGACCTTGGACACATTCGGACTCCCGCTTCGAAACCATGGTAGTTTCATGGCCAATGTCAGGCAATGGCAGTGCCGTGTACAAGTCGCACTTCAAGAAGGCGCGACGCCGTTCCGCTTCGTGTGTTTCCAGGTCGGATGGGTGGGTGTGGGGGCCGAATCCATTAGCCTTGAGGCAAATGCATTCTGCGAACAACATGGTCTGTCGGGAGTAGGTGCCGGGCTTTCGGGGATCTAGCTGTGGTTGAGGCATTTTGGCACGTATCACTAGTGACATGGATCCGTGTGACTCCGGATGCAGATCTCTCCTACAGTGATCAGGGCTCAGGCTCTGGAATTTATGGTCTCGCCTGGGTTTTGGAATTGGCGACAAGCGGTGCGATCTTGTCCACTCCAGCCCGAGAGGGACCTGACAGGCTCTGAAGCAGCTCGGCAAACAGGCTGGGACCGCAAGCAGAGATCCTCCGGATCACACACGTTCAGCTCTTGCAGCCTCAGTTCGGTCTTGAGTCTGAGGCCAAGACTTCCAGTGAAAGGATAGCTGTCTGGTAAGAAGAGACAAGAAGAGCGTTTATGCATGAGCGCGTTTCCATGGATGCCAGCTGGCCTTTGACTTGGCGGCTCTCGCAGGGCCACCGAGTACTTAGAGGATCTTTCGTCAGGAACAGCTCCGTGCGCATCTGTCAGTTGGGAAGAGTCTGAGTAGTGGTTCGACAGGTTTGACATCAGAAGCTTTTTTCTTCATAACAGCCCAGCCTTCGAAGCCCAGCCAGCACCGAAGCCTTCAAGACGGAGGCAAAGCATGCCGTCCCCGGCATTGACGACGTGATCGCCGGGCGCACCCAGGTGCCACTTGGCCTCATCAGTTTAGCCCGCATGAATCGCGGCTGCACCACACATGCATCGCGATTTCGTGCGAACGTAATGCTTCAGGAGACGGGCAAAATGTGTCGCCCATTTCCTGGCAGGATTCAGAGACACGACCAACAGTTTCCGGTTCAGGTACTCTGGCAAAAGCCGCATCTGCAAGACTGTGCCATGCATTGGAGACAACTCAGCATAGGACGGCGTGCGCATCATCTCTGAGCCACTCCTAGTTCCGCGAACCAAGGCTGACGATCAACAAATCTGTAGCAAGGCGCCTTGCCAAGGAGCCACGGAGGCCGTTGATGACTTCTGGAAGCTTTGGATTTGGATTGGAGTTTGGCGTTTGTGGTTCAGGTGGTTTGGCTCAACCCTAGTGAGAGGTCTCTCTCGAGCCAGCGTGAAGCCATATCGTGGGCGTACAACAAGGCAGGGAGAGCTCCCGAACCAACGGCTCTCTGGAGTAGCAGCCACGACCTGCCTTCTGCTGGCCCTCTCCGGTCCGAAGCCATGAATCGCCTGGAGGCTGTTTGCCAGCGGTCACTCGTCAGAGACCTTTAACACCCGACGACGGTTCACTTATTTCCGGCCGGGAATCATTTAGCCTGCTGTGAATCCGAAACGAGCTCTTAAGTGTGCAATGTGAGAGCGAAGCCCTATAAGTTGCAAGATACCCTGTTTGAGCTCCCAGGAGTCCGCTGAGTTTCGCTCGGCGCTGCCGGCACTGATGGCGAGCACCCAGGGCCTCTATGTGGACCGCTGCAGGGTCCAGGGCGCGGACGTCGTTTGCACACAACAGCAAGCGCAAGGCTACAGGCCTGATCAACTTTTTGGAAGACTAGGTGACTAGGCTGAAGATTGGCTTCAGATCCTCGCAGGCCTGGTGCGACGAAGGTCATGTCCGAATTCAAGCTAACTGTCTCGGCTTGTCTTGGAGGGGTTCAGCGCAAGGAGCATGACCGCTTTCGCAAGCCCTTTGACGTCGTCATCCGGGCCTTGGATCTTCGGCAGCAATGGAGCAAGAGGCGGTCAGACAGACGCCTGACATCAATCGAAGCGAGTCCGTTCGTGTTCACTTAGTTTGTGCGCATGAGAACATCATTAGCACAAAGATGAAGGCCTAAGATATACATAATATATATATATATATAGAAGAATGACAGCTGGCGGCTTGTGACCTGTTCGTTTTGGGATGTGCCAGCAAGGATGTGCCTGTTTCGTGGATCCCTCCGGTTAGCCTGAGCAGCTTGTCATTCCTGTCATTCTTCGCGAAATCGATGGGGTTCTTAACATTCAGAGATTCTTTGTTTGAGGCCAGTGTAAGGGGGGTGCTAGAGTTTAGGCGTGATGTTCAAGAAAAGACCCCTGCATTCTTCGGACATGTGCAGGGCTGGCGGATGGAACCGGAGCCCTTCCAGGCCCTATCCTTGGTGCCTTTGTGGCTTAGGATATGTTGCTGAGCTGGGAGTTTCAGGCGTCTTTGGGACTACACAAAACACGAGTGTTGGTGTCACGAAACAGCAGAGAGGAAGACGCCTGAAGCTGCTGCTCCTGGAGTAAACATTGGCCGTTCTGTACGTCTGACTTTGATGGCCGTGATTCCGGCCAACTGCGCCTGTCTGTGTGACTGCTGCTTCCTTGCAGGATCTTAGTGTGCAGCTGGATGCCGACGGGAGCCACGGCAGAAAGCTTCAAATTGGAGGGGCGCTTTGTGAGCGGGGTCTCCTGATGCTGATCTTGCTGGCGACGGATGCAGCAAGCCATAAGGACGACTGGTGCCAAGATGGTACTCGAACCTGCGAGACTTATGCACCTCCAACCCCACGGCCAAAGAAAGACTCTTGACCCGGGGACAACTTGAGTGCACTCGCTTTCGGAGGAAGTACCCGGAAGTGGATGCCTGCTTTGAGTCGACAGAGCCCGGCCTCTACTTTGCAGGCCGGGCCCCGCCTTTGGAATGTTTTTTATCTTCGGTGTGTGTCTTTTCCACGGGTTTTGGAGAGTCTCCCAAGTCAGGCACTGTTACACACGGCTTCGACAAGAAGCGGTTCGGCAGTGCGGGTGGCTTCATCCACGGCTTCCGCTACACAGCCTCGAAGCAGCATCTTTCACGTGCATTGGGCGTCTTCTCGTTGATGTGAGAAGAAGTTGCATGTCTTGACGTCGATTGAGGGGACGTGCAGTGTCATGACTGCGATTACATTGCGATGGGGGGTTCGATCTGCCACTGAGTGGCCGCTGCTTGCTCCGTCTTTTTACATGTAGTTGAGAGTAGGAGATTTGTTGGTTCTCTTTGTCATAAAGTTACATCATCGTGCAAACATTTCAAGGCTGAGATGGCGCAATCGGCTAAGCTCATGCCACACAACACTTTCCGGCCTCTTTTGCCAGCCTTGGAACAATTGTCGAACGGACCCGCTGGCGACTATGCGTGTGCGGCCAGAAGCCCTAAACGCTTCAACTTGCAACCCTGCATCCTGCTGCATTAGGCGAAGACGCTGTTTCGCTGCCTGATGCACCAGTTCGAAGGAAGGCGGGACAATTTGGGCCCGAGCGTGCCAACTGAAAGCTCTGGAGAGCAGCGCGGTGTAAGACGGTTCTGGCGAGGCAAGGCCCGAACTGGTATCAGGTCGACTTAGTCCAGGAAGCGTCAACCCTAACGAAGCGATGCAAAACCCTGAAGGCCTTTCTGGCATGATAGCCAACACCACTACGACTGGCCTGGTCCGGGTGCCGAAGCCACTGCTTGTGAGGCCTGGGAGCTTGGAAACTGATGGGTTAAGGAGAGGGGCAGGGCTGCGTGATCAGATGAGCACTCGACATGGAGAGGGCAAGAGGTTTTGGAGGGGAGCGAGTCATTGACAGCCATGCTTCCTAGGGCTGCCGAGTAACTTGGGATGACGACTTGGCAAAGCGGGGTTTCTGCACGCTGTGCCGGTGATTGGATCAAGGAATTGAGGCCTGATTTCCCAATGCCCAGGCTCAAACTCAGAGGAGCCGTGCCCAAGTTTCGCCTCGCATGGCTTAGCCTATACCCGTCTCTGAGAAGCTAGAGACCTCGAAACACAACCCAGGCCCAATTAGACCTCACAGAGTCCGTTTACCTAGAAGCCGGGAGGTCGGTCAAGAACCGGCAGCTACAGGGACCAAGAGCATCCAGCGGCTCCGCAGGATTGTGTGTGTGTGTGTGTGTGTGTGTGTGTGTGGGGGGGGGGTGGGTGGGGGGGTGCTAGGGGACCGGAAGAGTCCGCCGAAAGCTGATGAGGGAAGCACAGGCCTGCTGGCAGGCGCCACGAGTTTTGATTCTTCAGAGAAGACCACAGTAAAGCTCTCTTCTGCAGAGGTGGAACGAAGGGGTGAAGCTCGAAGCCTGTCTTTCCCGCCTTGAGATGGGAGGAATCTTTCAGCACTTTCCGTGGCAAGCTCATGCGAGAGCCTGCAGGGATTGACACTGGCTGTGCTTTTTGTCGCGTGAGGAGCCTGGAGACGACTCCGCACTGGAATCGGCTGCTCACGCGGCTCAACGAAGCATCCGGGCCCTACCAGATGTCCTGCGGGGCCCTGGTGGCTTTGCTAGCACTCCTCTGTGTGCCTCATACTTCGTCGATGGCCCGCCGAGACGGAGACACTTCTGGGGGACCCTAAGCAGGTTGTAGGCTGCTGTGCGCTTTGATCCAGGGATCAAGCAAGCCTTACAGTCTTTCAGAAACACACGACGCATTGTCTGCAGGTGGATGGGCTGGTCTATGATCGGCAGCAGCTTCGGGTCACGTGTCTTGTTCGCCTGCGGATTGGAAGTCTGTTTCTGGAGGTGCCAGGGCCGAAGACCCCTTATTGTTGTGCGGCTGCTCGGCAGTGGGTTGGCGAGCAGAACCCCCAACCCTCTCTTGTCCTGAAGGGTTCGTCAAATCTTGATCGCCGCGGATTTCGGAGGAAGGCTTCGGAGGTAAGAAGGCTGTAGAAGAGAGATGCCTCGAAGAGTCCGAGTAGATGGGCGGTATTCGGCGTTCTTGACGTGTACGCCTGTTGTTCGCTGTGTACTGCTCATACCAGACAGCAATGTCGAGCTTGACGCAGCGTATTGCATTGCATTAGGTACTACCAGGACATCCCCATAGACCTGTTCGAGGCAGCTGCTGCCATGGCGATGAATTTGGGGCTTGCTATAGAATGAAGGCATCAAGCTATGCCCCGACATGCGCCTGCGACGAGATCGCAAGATGCCGTGAAACGGCTGCCACAAAGGAAACACCGGGAGTCGCACTAAGGCTTGAGAGGGTTAGGATGCTGTGTGCAGCTGCACAGGCGGAGTTCCGGCAATACCCTCGCCTGTACTTCCAGTTCCGCTACGGCAAAAGCAGCTACCTGCAACGGTCAGGCGCGGCTGTGACCAGTAGGTGAGGCTTCAGAAACAGGCATGAGACAAGCATTAAGATTTCACGCTACTCAACCTGCCATCCCCTCCAAGAGCTTGCAGCCCCATGCTGTCGTCTCGAATCTCAAGATACAACCCAAGAGCTTCAAAGCACCGAGTGCTCTGCTGCTTGAAGCTGCCTCGGGTGTGATTTCGAGTGGACATGAAAGACCAACAGCTGCAAAGCTTCCTCCCCAGTCGATCCTAGTCTGCCATCACAACCAGAGCGGCATTTCACACAAATAGAGTGAAGCCTCCAGAGAGACAGCCAGAGCCGCTCGGAGTGAGAGGTGCAGTAGTTACAAATCGCAGGGTTCTCCATTCAGTACGATTCGATAGTACGATGTTTCAAGATAGCGAGGGCGCCTTCCGCACATTTGATCGCAGACTTTTTGCGAACCCGGCTGGTGGCGCACAAGTCGTCCTTCCTCCATCCGGTTCTCTTCTATTTGCAACTCGGCTCGGTGGCTGGACGCAGCCCATATATGATATAATATGTAGTATGTAGTACATATATATGTAGTACAATGCAGTATATAGTACATAGTATCCGGCCGATGCACAGTGCACTCCATCTTTCTCCACTGGACATCCGACTTTGTACCCTGACAGGCTCATGTGGAGTTTGACTTTGATGTGCGGTCGTAAGAGCGGTGGATGTTGGTTTCAGACCACGTTGAGATCACCTGGACCGACTGTCGTCTCTTTGTCCCCAGGCGCCCCAGCACAGATCCGTGCGCCCGCAAGTCCCCCATCCACAAGCACCTGCCACGCCCATCTAAGCCAAAGCCGCTCGGCCTGAACGCTTTATAAAGCCGATCCCCACAAAAGATCCCAGGATGCCTAACAAGAGCGCGGAGAATCCGAGCCACTCCTCGCGCCTGCATTTAGTCGAGGAGCGCAGCGACTTGAAAATGCCCTACCTTTCCTGCAAGAAAAAGCAGTCTTTTCTTAGACCAGCATACTACCGTACTGGCGCATGGGATTATCAGGTTACATCATTATGACAGTCTGAGCCATCTTGTCATGTATTCTTTACAAACCAAAGTGAACTGGCTCGCTGCTGCCAGGATCGGTGGACTGACTGGGCTGGTCGCGAAGAGGTGCAGGGGTCCTGGGAACTTGGAGCATGCTAAAGCACAGTCCGACCAAAAAAGCTCTCCGGCGCGCTCCACATGTGCGTTCGTGCGCGAGCAAGTGCGTGTGCGTGCGCGGGTGTGCCGGAAGAACTCAGAGGATGTGTTTGTTTGTCCATGGCGGGCTGCTCAGATTTGGTAAGTAGCAGACCAACCTGGAGGCATCTTGCAGGTAGGTAAGTGCCCAGAAACTGCAGAAGTTGGAGAAGACGGAACCTTCCCTGAGGACGAAACCGTGTAGGATTTCGATATACACCAGCGGTGCACAGGTATTGGCAGTCCATAACTTCTTGTCCGAGGTGGAAAAATCCATTTGGCAGGACGTGGCACGGGGATTTGAGTTGGAGGGCTCGGAGTTGGGGTTGCAGCTCGAGTTGCAGCTACTGTCAATAGTGAAAGAACGCCAGAGGACAAAACAAGTTGCAATCTGTCCCACCTCCAGAAAGCCTTGAGCGCGTGAGGCTCCCACCTGAAAAGTTTCCTGCGACTTCGTGCACAGGTTTTAGTACTGTGATAGCAGTGCGATAAATGAGTGATTCTGTATGAATGCTCGGCTTTCAACCAAAATGATAGTTGGAGTACGTCATCATGTCTCTAGAAATTCACTGTGCTTCCCATGCAGGGCGCACCCAGCGGCCAGAAGTAGAGCAATTTGTGATCGTTAGTGCTCCGACATTGAAGTTGCATCCTGACTGTCTTCTTAAAGGTTGATTCTGTGGCTTCCCAGGGCTCGTAGATCCATTGGCCTTCCTGCAGCGATTGCGTGTTGGGTCGGTCTCCAGGATGTGAAGCCACCGAAGTTCCACGAAGGCACCGCAGTGTTTCTTTGCTGGCTGGTGTAAATCGCAGACCTCGAAGTTGTTCTAGTCCCCAGAACCTTGGGCGAGACAGTAGAGAAGAGCGACAGCTAGACGGCACAAAGCAAGCTGGCTGCTTGTCGAGAAATGGATTAGTTGGAGCCAGCAAAAGCAAATCTCGACCGTTGCAGGCATCGACAATCTCAACCTCACGTGCAACCATTTCGAAGCCGCAGAGGACGAGGAAGAAGATTACGAGAAGTAGCAGGCGATGGGGGTTTCTGATCAGTCTGGCAAGATTTGTCTCTCTTCCTGATGTCTCCTGGTGTCTTTTCATGTTTTAGTCTGCAGTTTGCTTGTCGTTTCGTCATACCCTGTCCGAGAACTGCGTGGAGAGAGGCGCCATGAGGTGCCCTTGGAAGCCGACGGATTTGTCTCACCTTATGTGCCATCTTGCGCTCCGTGCTGTATCCCCCTGTCCCTCTTGTCTCTTCATCAAAATCTTGGTGGTAATCTTAAGCCCCGAATGTTCTATTCCTGAGGGTGAGGCCGTGGAACCTTCGAGAATTTGCAGGCATCATGCGCACAAGTTGTATTTCATGAGGTGTTCGACACGCCATATGGCACGGAAAAAGTGCGGAAATTATTGAAAGGACGCAGTAAATTCTTTGCAAGCTTCGCTGTAAGTGACGCGACCCCTGGCCCTACACGTCGGCTCAAGCCGACTCCAGCAGCTGTTGTAACTGTTTTAATTTTGGAGCAATGACTTCATTGACTTCATTCTTGTCGCTTGTGGTCGTCTTGCGCCTTGTCCCCGTCACTGGCTACAAGCTGGTTCACAGTGAAGCATCTGAGACGCAGAAGCCCAGCATCTGCAGCCCTCAGTTAGAGCCAACGCCGTGCGAAAAGATCCTGCAGGAGGTCACGTGTGAGACGACCTGGTCGGCTGCCTGCCCGGGGATCGATCACCCCTTGGGAGCGACGCACAACCAGGAGACGTTCGGGTCGCGCTGTGCTGAGGAGTGCACCACCAAAGTTTCGCTTTCCGGCCTGGACTTCAAAGACCCGAAGCTTGAGACCGCGGGGCAGCACACGAAGTGTTTCTTGGACATGATCGACAAGGCAGAACATGCCGGCGACACGATGGCTGTCGAGACACTGACAACGCTCATGCTCGGCGAGGCCGACAATGATGCCACTCAGGTGGCGATCCTTCACGAGTTGCAAATGGAGACCATGAACTCCCAGATTCTCGCCGCCAAAGAGGACGCCGCGCAATGGGCCCAGGAAGCTTGCGCAAGACCGAGCATGAGATGGACCAGATTGGGCATGAGGAGTTCAAGATGGACAAGAAGTGCAGGCCAGAGAATATCAACATCGACTACTTTGTGAACAGGCTGAAGGTGAAATATGGATCTGCCGCTTGTGGCAGCTCCCTGCTGCAGACTGCGCACCAGGATGTGGCAGATCGGCTCTCGATTACGCTGAACCGCCACGCCCAGCATGTGCTGGCCCTGCACACGCACGAAAACCAGCTCGGCCACCACTTTCTGCAACAGATCCAAGCGGCTACCAGTGGCGACCTCGAGGATACCGCCGTCGGCAATTTCTATGAGAAGTTCGTGGAAGCCACAACGGGCAACCTCACGTCGGAGCAGCGTGCTCGGCTCAAGCATTTGGACCAGGACCCGCGCTGGAAAAAGGTGCGATCCACGGCGCCCTGCGATGTGTCGCGGACTACAGGCAGTGCATCTGCGATGGTGCGGAGCCTGTCTTGGTGTGCAGGATGCGGCATCGCCATGCCGCCGAGGCTCACCACCAGGAGATGAAAAAAAACCGTGACGGCTGCGCTGGCCAAGGGATCCAGCCCAAATCAAGGCTAAGGAGGAGGCTGCAGTGGAGGCCGAGGAAGAGGCCGCCATGCAGGAGTTTGCGGGCTCTGAGGGTGCCCTCGTTGACAGCTCTGCCCGCGGCTAAACACAACTACACTGGTTTCACCCTAGGTCCATGTCACAAGGCACCGGTCCGATCTGCCTCGTCTTTCCTCCTCCACCGGGCCTTAACACAAAGGACGGCTTGTATGAGGAGGCCAAGAGTGCCGTCGGTATCTTGCCTGGTGGAGGAACCTTTTCAGCCTGCAAACTACAAAAACAAACGGCGTGAAGTTCCGTGCCTCAGTGCTGACATGATCACCTGCATTGGCGTGAAGCCGGCAGACCCGCTCAAGTTGAAGTTCAGCATTGGTGCGGCAATCGAGGAGGACTGTGGCCAAGGCCTGGATGGAACCATTGCCACGTTCAGGGTGAACTTGAAGCTTCTGTTGTGCCTGGGCATCCCCGGCATCTCTCACAAGCTGCAGCTGTTCAACGCCGATTGTAATTATGGACCTGGCAGGCGTGAAGTATTCTCCTGTCATTGGCAGGCTGACAGTTGGAGATGTATATCGGGTCACAGGGGAGGCCCGGTTCAAGTTCAACTCAATTTTGTCGTCCGCGATCTGACCAAAAGCCGTCACCGAGTACTGCAACATCAAGCACATTTCCTGGGCTAACGGGGGGTGGCGTTCGGTCTACATTGAGTGCACATGGCCTCTTCGAAGAGCCACGAGGAGAAAAGCCGTAGCTTCCCCAAGTGTCCGTCCTTCCATGTGAGCACGAAGGAACAGGAGTGCATCGACTGGCTCGATGACCAGTGCGGGGCACATAAGGAGCTCAAGGTCGTCATTGACGAAATGTACCATGAGGCATATGACTGCTGGTGGGACTGGTGCTCCTACAGGTACAAGTGGAGGAACGACGCGACCCACGATTGGAACGTCCGCTGAGCTCCCTTCAAGATTCTAGAACTGGTGGAAAGGAGAAAGGCGTGCAATTTTTTGCTGCTGACCACGCTTCCGTCGGGCAGCTTCAAACTACGGTCTGGCTCTGCTTCTGCGTCAGGCTACTGACAAAGTAGACGCGTGCCTCGTGTACAGGTTGAGGCTTGACTTGAGTGAACGCGCTGGCATAGTGCCGGTGTTGAACAAGTTTCGGTCAATGTAGTTGCCCGCCTTGCAACGTCTTGGCATCGTCGTTAAGTTGGTAGTGCTGTTTCACCTTGATTTACTAGGTTTGTATGATTCGCTCCGGACCGAGGGTGGCTGATGCCATCGACCAGGCCGAACCACGCCAAAAAAATTGCAATTGCTACTGCTGATGATGATGTCTGCTATTGCTGCTGCTTCTGCCGCTGCACTGTCGCTGCAACTACTTACTTCTGCTACTGTCGCAGTCTGTGAGTGCTAGTATTGGTAGTAGTCATTGTTGCAAAAGATCAGGTTCGATTCTCGCCGTGAGCAGTCTCTTTCTCAAGCGGAGCTCCGGTGCTTGCGGCCTTCAGTATTCATCCATTCCCATTAGATTTGTCTGATACGCGGCAACAAGAAACGTTGCTAATCCTTGTGCCTTTACACGCATAGAATGAGGCATTGATCTTACGTGAAATTCGGGTTTGATTCGAAGGGACCGAATTGGCATCCAACGATCGAGGCGGGTTCCAAAGTTCCACAGCGAACATTCGTCACGACGCGCAACAAAATTGGCTCGGATTGATATACGATCTTTGAGAAAATCAATTCAATATCGGAATAAATATTTTGGGAGGCCCATGTTTTGCAGGCAAAAAAATATGATTTGAGATCTATCAATTTTTAAAGCTAATCATCTTATCTCAAATAGCGAGCTTGGGATGAAGGATATGATTCTTTTTCTTGGCATTTTTATATTAATTGAAAAAAGAATCGATATTAATCGTATTAAAAAATTTAAATTAATGTATGTGTGTCGTATTTTATATATATAATTATGAGATTTGAGTCTCGAGGTTGATTGATATATTTTTTTTGTTCTGTTGAATACTTACTTTTTTAAATTTGTAAGATTTAAACTTCTAGGTTAAAATTTCTTGAGAATTATGAATAGACTGAAATTTTCGAATTTATATTTCTAAGAAATTAGAGCTATAAATATTTAATATATTTATAATGATAGATATTAGTATTATTTTTAATATGTTTAATATAGAATTATTGAAATTATTATTTAGATAAATAAATATCGAGCATAGATATATATATATATATGTGTGTTTGGTAATTTCCCCGGTATTTATATTTGCTTTTGTCTCTTAGGAATATGAATACCAAAATATGGGTTCTGGAGGGAGGAGGTCGATGGAAATTGTTGGCTTATCAATATTTTCCATGATTTCCCAGAGACAAATCATAGAAAATATTGATTTTGCCAATATTTCTAATAATTTCCGTGATTTTCCGAATTATGG